AACACTACCTCCTGGCTCTCAGGAGTTGCTAGCTGTGACAGCGCATCGGGGAGCCCCCCAATCCTGCACCCCCATCTGCAGCAAGGTGAGACTCTGCCAGCCAGAAGAACAGAGAGGTTTATTGCTTCACCAGGATACAGCACAGCATAGACGTGATGTGGTTACAGGAGTCAGGGCCAGGCAGCCTCAGTTGGGGTGGGGGTCCACAGGCTCCTGATCCCTCAGTACTCAGCTTAGTCGCTTCTCTTCATGTCATCCCAGCCAGAAATTGCCCAGCTCCCAGGCCCTGCCCCCCAGCCAGGTGGCCGTCTCCGCCTCCCCTCCTGTGTTTCTCCCCTGGGAAGCGCCTTGTTATCTGCTCAGGCTGGGACTAGGTGTCTGGGCCAATCCCGTGTGGATGAGTCAGTGCGAATCACAGCCCAGCGCAGGGGACCCCGGGTCACAGAGCAGACCCTCCCCCCCATGTCACACTGGCTACTGCCCTTGCATAAATGATACTCAGCCATGTGCTTGGGTCATTCCTGAGGGGTGTAAACAGGGTGAGCTGCCCAGGCGTGCTGGCTAGAGGTCAGTCGGTGTGGGGACAGGTGTAGGGGCTACAGCATCCACTCACTCCAGTGGCCTGTTACAAAAGCCATTTGTGCAAGCTTGACTCTGGCTGGGTGTTTGACTTTTAAGGCCCTCGGAGGGGTTGGCTGCAGGCAACGAGCCCCTGGCAGGGGAAGGCCTCGTGCAAAACTCGCCCTGGAGCAGAGCTGGGAGCCCCTGACTGTCTTAGGAGCCCAGCTGGGGCAGGGTGGGGGCACGGCCGAGAGGAGACAGATCGTTAGAGCTGCCAGGTGTGTCCAGTCAGGCCCAGTTCCCAGAGCCGTGCCCGTGGTGCGAGAATCTCGGCTGTCACAGAAAGGCTGAAGCTGGTTCCCATGGTGACTGAAAACACCCTGGAGCGGTGACCAGAGCCCAGGGCTAAGCGAAAGGGCCCTGCAGTGTCTTGGCTCTGAGCCAGCTTGATTGTACTAAAACCTGTGATTTTGGGGCTTATGAGAGTGGTGGCTTGGCATGATTGGCCGGACTGGTCAGGCCAAAGGTCCCTCTTGCCCGGCATCCTGTCTGCCCACAGTGGCCAGCGCCAGGCACGGCCTTTGAACGTGGGGGGCCGGGCACTGGCCAGGCAGCTCTGCAGGGTTAGCAATGGAGGCCACCACACGGAGGCCCAGGGAAGTCTTGTCCAGTGGCCTCAACAGGGACCTGCTGGCGCCACTTGTTGTGGAAGAGGAAGGGCATTTCCACCAGGCCCGAAGGGTTCCTGGGTTTCTGCCCCCATGCTGTGCCAGGGGCCCTCCTCCGAAAGCAGGCACGAGACACCCTCCCGGGGACTGGCCAGGGCAGGACAGCCTGGGCCAGCCCCTTCCGGCTTCTTGGAGAGGGAGCAGCAGAGGCAGGGTAATTCGAGAAGGGTCCGAAGGGGGAAGTCACAAGGCCAGAGGAAATCTCTGTGCCGGTGAAAGAGGCAGCTCCAGATGAACTGTCCCCAGGCTCCAAAATGTTCCCACCCGGGCTGTTCCTTCGGCGCAGGTAGCACCCAGCCCCCCAGTGCGACTGCTGCCGCTAATTAGACCTGGTCCTGTCTAGCGCCCTCGTCAACAGAGCCCAGTCTCAACTTGCCCATTGGGTTCCCTGGGGCGGGGCTGGAATCTCCATCCCTGGAGGTATTTAAGTCCTGGCTCGACACAGCCCTGGCTGGGCTGATTGAGTTGGGTTGGTCCTGCTCTGGGCAGGGGCTGGACTCGGTGCCTGCCCTGCGGTTCTGTGATTCTACGATTGCACAGGTGGGAAAACGGAGGCTGGGGGAGGGAACACTGCTTGCCAAGGCCGCACGGGTCTCTGCTTTAGCCACCGTCCGTTCTCAAAGAAGCAGGGAGTCGCTGTGAATGGAACCCTAGTCAGGGGCTGAGTCTGAGAACCCTACATTGTCTCTGTGGTTCTCTCCACCCCGCAGGCTTCACAAGGGAGACCCGTCACTACAGCAACATCAGTGCCTCTTTTGTTGAGCCACAGCAGATATCTGGGTTCAGAGGAGAAATCAGTGATATGGTCGCAAGCAGCATACAAGCAACGGTCTCTTTCAAGAATCTCAGCCTGCCCGCTGATACCCAGTTCCCAGGGAAAGCTCAGTCCTGAGAAATTACTCTTCTTAGGCCTTGTCTACACTGGCATGTTTTGGTGTGTGACTTTTGTCAGGAAAAACACCCAATTTTGGTGACAAAATATCTTCCATCCCCATGAGATACTTTTGTCTTCCCCCCCTCTCTTTATTGTCAACAGAGCGAAATGTGGATGCTGCTCTTTGTTTTGTCAAGAGAACTAGCTTCCACCAGTACTCCACAATGCCTGCCCAATGACTCTGCTCAGTGATTTGTGATCTCTGCTGCCCTGCAGGCATGCGCCCCCCCCCCCCCCCACTGCTGAATGAGCAGCTCCCTTTGGGGAACAAACAAAGAACTAATCATTGGAATGCTTCTGGTCTCCCTTGCTAGGAACCCAGCGGCAGGCAGAGGGCTGCTGCAGGGGGTGGAGATAGGCTGCTGTGACATCCCTCAGCACTGAGAGCTCCCAGAGCTACTCATGATGCTGCTGCCAGCAGCTGAGGAGGCTGTGGGAGAACTTGGAGGGAATCCCAAGAAGCGCAGGGATCAGCTCTGCCTTCTCTCAGCAGTGCCCTGGGGGGATGAATCTGTCTCCAGGGGAGCGAGCCATGTGGCCCTGAAATGTCGACAATGGGAGGCAGAAAAAACAGTTTGACCGGTTTTCACTTTTGGCGACTTTCGCATGTCGGCAGCACTATCATCCCCAAACCTGGCCCGTGTAGCATGGCCTCAGAGAGACAGACAGCAGGCTTTCCTGGGACCTGCAAGCGCTGTCCTGAGGCAAAACTGCATCACAGAAATGAATTGCAAAGGAGCATGTCTTCAAAGACGGAGCACTCGCTCCTACATTGATGCACGAGGGGGGCTCTTCTAACAGGGCCACCTAGAGACGACTGCAATAGATGTTACTTCTTTACGGCCCAACAATCCATCCCACTGCAACAGCAGTCGGAAGCTGTGGACACAGGATGGGAATGCTTGAATGTAAACTGGACAGCCGAGTTAACACACCTCCCCTGCTCTGTGGGGTTTAGTTTTATGTCTCATCTGTCAGATGAATGACACTCCTTCCTTCCTCCCTCCCTCCCTACCTCCAGAAGTAGATTAAACTGAGTTCTATGTAAGTGAGGGCACCTCTGGGGAGGCAGTATACACCTTCTGTCTTTCTGCATCCACATTAAAGATCTGATGGTGTTTTTGGACAGAGGACAGGTTGGCCCGGGTGTCCCTGGCCAAAAGTTCCCTCCCTCCCCCATGAAGTGAGACAATTTTCTGGCCTGCTGCTTCGCTGCACCCCAGAGGTGGCTGCACTCCAATAGTGCTGAATGAGTATGGATTGCTCCGTGCATTAAGATCTCTTGGGATGACAAGCACTTTATAAATGTAAAATATTGTCATTTTGGGTCCTGTCCCACTGCGCTCACTTTTCCTGCATTCGGGCCAAATGTCCATTAAGGATGGCCGGGTCCAGGCCCGTTATGATGCATGAATGGGGGAGAGTTTGCTTTCTCCGTCCAAGCAGCTGCAGGCCAGCCCCTCGGCTGATGTAAATCGGGGTGGCTCCCTGGACTGTTACAACGCTATGGTGATTTACACCTGCTACGGCTCTGCCCCCCAAAGGTTAGTAGGTGACCCCTGGAGAGTGTGGGGGATGGTATGTGGGGCTCAGTGGATACGCCCATGAGGGGAGTACCTGACCCATAATTGGGCCCCTTTCCCTCAAGCCTCAGAACCAAAGGATGCTCCTCCTTTGGGGGGTGAGCAAGGGGCCTCCTAGCCTTGCTGGAAGTAGCTGTACGAGGGGTGGGGATGCTGCAAAGGGCAAAGGTGGGAGAAGCAGCCTGGCCATGCCCATGCTCAGCCAGCCAGGGCCTCAGGCCACAGGGAGTGAGGGCAGACGGCACCTCCCCCATGCTCGGTGTGGCTAGCGGCTGCCCCTTCCCTCGCCCGGGCAATGGTCCCGCAGGGCTCCCTGCAGCCATCGGGCCCAGGCACTCTGGAGGCAAAGCCCCACTGGGGCAGGTCGTGGGGCCCCTCTGGGGGAGAGATCCCGGAGCCCAAAGGGGAGCCTGGCTGGGGAGGGGACCTTGGTGAGCCAGAGGGACACTCCAGGCCTGCACCACTCGGGTCATGAACAACGTGCTCCCTCGGGGCCTTGCCGAGGGGGGGAGGGGGCTGTTCTCTGGCCGGACAGTCGGGAGGGAGCAGCCAAAGGGAGGGTTTGCTCAGCTCCCCTCCAGCAGCCAGCTTGCCCCGGGGCCACATGTTCCCGAAAAGGCCTGTTGTTGGGTTGCCCACCACGGGGCGAGGCCCCCCCATTCTGGCAGGCGGCCGGCCCAGGCGCATGCAGAAACCTCCCCGAATGCCCCTGGCATGGCCCCTGGAGGCTCCCGGGGAGGGCGAGCTGGCCCTGGGCCCGGCGGGCAGGACTGGGGTGCCCATGGTCTCGGGGTGGCCATGGGGAGCCGACGGGCAGGGAGAGGGTCTGGCCCCTTCTGTCTGCAGGTGGCCTCTGTTGATCTGGTCGTGGGCGGAGAACCCCCAGCTCCCTGCTGCTTGGTCCCCAGCCGGGCGGGGAGATCGGCGCTCCCCTCCCCGGAGCGCGGCCAGTGCTAGTCGCTGGGGCCAAAGGCGGCGGCTGGGCATGGAGCCAGGCCGGGCGAGCCCCAGCCCCGCTGCTCCCCAGCCAGCCGCTGCCAGGCGGCGCCGCAAGGGTTAAGCAGCTCGCAGGGGCTGAGCCAGCGCCGGCTGCCAAGGCAGGAGCCGCGTATAAAAGCAACAAGCGGCGGCGGCAGCTCCTCCAAGGCGCCCCGAAATATGGCTGAGCCGCTGTCTGGCCCCCGCCCCGCCGCCCTCTGAGCCGCCGCGCCCGGAGAAGCCGCAGCCCCGCGCCCTGCCCCGGGAAGCCAGCGCCCCCGGGTGATGCAAGAGGACACGCTGGGTGCCAGGAACCTGCCCGGCCCCGGATCGCTGCGCCCCGCGCCTCTCTCCAGCCCCGGCGGAAAGTGGCCGCGAGTTGGCAGCGAGCGATAAACAAGCGGCCCCGGAGCGCGGCCCCAGCCCTGCCCTGGCCCGGAGAGAGCGCGAGTCCCCGGACCCCTCCCCGGCGCCTGGGACTGACCCGGCTCGCAGCCCACCGGCCGGCCCGCCGCGCCCCGCTCGCCCGAGCGCACCTGGGGGACCAGCCCCGGCTCCCTCCTGCCTCCTCCCCCGCCCAGAGGCCGGTCCCGCTGCTCCGCTGCGCGGCGGATTCTATGGAGAGTCTGGAGGCAGGCGGAGCTGGACGCGAGGAACCCAAAGCCGGGCTCGGCGTGAAGCCCGCCTGCCTTGGAGCGGAGTGTAAACAGCGGGGAGCCAAGCCCTTCTGAGCCCAGCCTGAGCAGGCATCGCCCCTCTCATCCGGCCGGGGAGAGCGAGGAAGCGGTGTCGTCCCGGAGCAGAGACCGGAGTCACTCCCCTTACCGCGCTTCCAAAGTTTGGGGTCTGTTTTAACCCGGAGCCAAGCTCCCATCCGCGTCAGGGGCTGGCTTCTCGCTGCCGGCGAAGGGCGGCAGACGGACACTTTCCCAGGCTGCCGTGGGAACCTCTCGGCTCTGTCTTTGTGGCTCGTCCCCCCGGATCCAACAGCCAGAGATCCGTCCTCATCCAAGTGCCTTTGCCCCGCTTCCCAGCCCAGCTCTGCCGCTGGTCCTCCCTCCCCAGGAGGCATTTCCTTGTTGCTGCTGCCTGGTGTCTGGAGCAAGGGCGTGGGGCCTTCCTATTGCCCTGCTTCCCCCCAGAGCGCCCACCTGTGCCCAGTCCCCTCCTGCCCAGAGCCATCCATGAGGCAGCCCAAGGGCAGAGCTGTCTGAGCTTGGGGAGAGAGAAAGCAGAGCCCCCCACCGCCTCCCAGCTCCTCGCCAGAGGAAGGGTGTTTAGAGGGCATTTCCCATCCACCGAAATCTATGATCAGCTCGGTGTGTGTCTCATCCTACCGTGGACGCAAGTCTGGGAACAAACCACCCTCCAAAACATGTCTGAAGGAAGAGATGGCCAAAGGGGAAGAGTCGGACAAGATCACCATCAACGTCGGGGGCACCAGGCATGAGACCTACAAGAGCACCCTGCGGACCTTGCCCGGCACCCGCCTGGCGTGGCTGGCCGACCCCGATGCCCAGAGTAACTTTGACTTCGATGGCAAGAGCAACGAGTTCTTCTTCGACCGCCACCCGGGCATCTTCTCCTACGTGCTCAACTACTACCGCACGGGCAAGCTGCACTGCCCCGCCGACATCTGCGGGCCCCTCTTCGAGGAGGAGCTGACCTACTGGGGCATTGATGAGACCGACGTGGAGCCCTGCTGCTGGATGACCTACCGGCAGCACCGCGACGCGGAGGAGGCGCTGGACATCTTCGAGAGCCCCGAGCCCGGCGCGGGGCCTGGTGGCGAGGAGGCCGAGGAGGAAGGCGGCAGGGAGCTGGCCCTCCAGCGCCTGGGCATGGATGACAGGCCGCCAGGGGCGGCGGGGGCCACAGGAGGGGGTGGCTGCTGCCGCAACTGGCAGCCCAGGATGTGGGCGCTCTTCGAGGATCCCTACTCATCCAGAGCAGCAAGGGTGAGTTCGCAAGAGACACCCCAGGGGATGGGGCAGAGCGGGATCAGAGCAGGTGACATGCATTTGGTCCCCACTCATTGATCTACTCCATGGACTTGTTGGTTTGCCCCTTCCCTCAATCTGCCCCAGCCCCTGGGCGCATTAGTTCTCCTATTCATCTCCCCCTGAGCTGCCTTGTTGCCCTCCCCTTGGTTTCCTTGCCCAGGAGAAGTGCTGACTCTTCCTCCCCCCACCTCCATGTTCCATTCAAACTTCCCTGCTCCAGTTCTCTGCCGGGCGCCGGGGCATTGGCCACAGAACTAGCAGCAGCCCCGTCCTGGCTGCCCCAGCCCCTGGGCGCATTAGTTCTCCTATTCATCTCCCCCTGAGCTGCCTTGTTGCCCTCCCCTTGGTTTCCTTGCCCAGGAGAAGTGCTGACTCTTCCTCCCCCCACCTCCATGTTCCATTCAAACTTCCCTGCTCCAGTTCTCTGCCGGGCGCCGGGGCATTGGCCACAGAACTAGCAGCAGCCCCGTCCTGGCTGCCATCTCAGAGCTGGTGGGCACTGAGGGATCGTCAGGGTGAGTCTTTGCCAGCCCTGAGTCCTGGCAGAATTCCAGGCCATGCCAGAGGCTGCTGGGTTGTTTATCCAGTCCCCCTTGCCACGCTCCGAATCCACAGGCTGAGTGCAGTGTCTATCGTCGGGTTACAGCCGGGGTCTGGCCCTGGAGTGTTCCCACCCCTCCATGCCCACCGGCCTGGCCAGACTCACAACACGCCCCCGCCAAGCCTGGCTCGCACTCACATCTGTGCACAAGGAGGGGACTCATGCAAACACACCCACCCACACCCATCTGCACATAGTCAAACACACAGACCATCCCCATACAAACTGCTCCCTCCCTCTGCCGCGCCATCATCTGTAGCAATTAACACACATTCAGCCACACTGATAGACACCCCCATGTGCATTAGCACAGCCCCCTCTGTGTGTACACAGAGCCACACCACATCCCACCCCATCCATAGAAACTCCCCTGCGCCCAGCGTCACCCTCACACGTGCCAGCCTGCGGCTCCCTTCACACACTCATCCCCAAGCCCACACACCACCAACACACACATGCCGCCACGCACAGCCGTATCCACCCGCAGCCACTCCTGTTCGCACCTCCAGTCCCCTGTTCACACCCAGTTCAGAAATACCAAGCGACTGACACGCCGGGGAGCTAAAAGAGATTTTGACATTTGGGAGGTGCAAAAAGAAACAACAACAAAAAATAGGCTCCAAGCTCCTGGCAGGAACCACACTCCCATCCAGAGCGAGGTGCTTGTCAAGAGTGTTTCCCTTCAACCGCAAGAGAAACCCAAGAGGCAGCTGAGGCAGAGGCTTAGGTAGCAACAGCCTTTCCAGAGAGTCCAGCTCCTCGGGAGCAAACCCGTCTGGTCTCAGGGCTCCCTGGTGCAGGAAGCGGCTCTCAACCAGACTCAGCTGAAAACAATTGCCCCCAGGACAAGGCTTCCAGTGGGGTGCTGCTGATGGCAAGGTGTATTTCGTGGTTGTTATGACTGCGCCGAGCCAGGGGTGTGACAGCAGGGCTCTGCCAGCGCCGGGAGCCTCAGGGATGTCTTGGTGGGAGCAGAGGCAGATGTCGCCCGTGCCATGGCTAGTCAGACAAGGGACTGTAAAAATGGCTCCTTCTAATCCGGGGTATGTGGCTTCAGTGACGGTGGGCCCTTTCGGTAATGCTTCTCAGTCCATTACCTCAAAGCGCCGGGTCGGAGTTTGGGACAGAAAACGATATTTTTTCAGGGAAACTGAGGCAGCGAGCAGCAACCTCACCTACTCCAGATCACTGCGAGCCAGGGCCAGAATACAGGCTCCTGTTCTGCAGCCGTGTCTGGGCCCCCCGGCCAGCACCTCAGAGTAATTGTGGGGGTGGTGAGAGGATCGGGAGAGGCCTGGGGCCGCACCCCAGCTGGCATGAGCGGTGGGGGTAGAAAGGCGCAAGAAGGCCCCGCGGCCCTGCGGCCGCCGGCGCCAGGGCTGCATTTCCAGCCCGGCTGTAGCTCAGTCACCTGTGCAGCGCCAGCTGTCGGGTGGTGGGTGAAGTTAGTGGAGCTCTGCCAGTTTACGCCAGCTGAGGCTCCAGATTGCTCTTTGGCACCTGGCAGGCGGGAGTGGGAGCATTTCAACATGGGC